GGATTTCTCTCGGATTCTTATAAAACTCCTTACACCCTTGTGTCTTAGTGGCTTTAACACCTTGCTTTGGGAGAAATTATTAACCCTTTCCCCAGCGTAGACGTGTATACACGTTTTTACCGAAAGGTTCTTTTCAGATACGGACGAACAAACACGTCTAAAATATAACGTTCAAAAACCAGCTACAGGCTTGTTTATACGTCGATCGTGTTCCTTTTTATGCCTTTCAAAGCTTGAAATGGGTCCAATTGTCAGCTCATATGTCTGGCGGGGAAAGCGTTAAAAACAGTAGAAATAGAGACATTATCTATTTAGGAAGACTAGCTCTAAGATGACAAAAGAGGCGGAGTTCCCATAGAGGGGATAGAGAAATCCATCCATGGATACGCTTGTTTGTACTCCACGCATCTTGTAAGATTTCGCTCCAGTATCGCTTCATATTTTAAAATTAAGACATTTCACTTTAACAACAAAGAAATACAAACGGGAGATATTTTCTATACATTACGTTTACATCGTGGTTTCAGAGGACAGGATACATCTACTGTTTCACTATTTTTTTCTTCTTTCACCGCACTTTTTTTCTTGTATATAACTGTATCCCTAGACAGAAACTATTCAATGCCACCAAAAGAGACAATAGTTCCATCCAGCAAGCGCCATAATGTGGTAAAAAATAGACTCATTACTTGAAATATAAAAATGAAATTCAAAAATGAAATAAATAAATTGCTTATAAGTAATCTAAAGAAAGAAATTGAATTTGAAAAACAAAAGTGAGATCGAGTGGATCAGTATAAAAAATCATGAAGACATTTTTTTTTCTTTTAACGTGCAGGCACGCAGAATAAAAAAGTTGTGAGTGCTACATAAGATCTTAAAAATGAGGTTCGGATGCTCAGTAAGATGTTAATTTTCAAGGTAGGTATCTCTACTAATTCGCCAAAAATATACCGTGATTAAATAATGCTCCAAACTTAATGAAAACAAAGTTTTTATCATCAAAATATTAAATTTTCTTTTTCGCTGTCAGCGGATCCGCCAAAGATTAGTATTAGGAGATTTAGCATTAAAAACACATTGTTCTAGAAATTCTTACAAAAATCAAATAATTGTCGGATTTTAATTAAACTTTCAGAACTTATTTACAAATGAATGAAATTTTTTAGACGTGTTTTTTTTTTAGACATTCATGAAAAAAATATTTTTTACGTCTGTTACACCTCCCACACACAAGTTACGGCGTAACTTTTATTGATTATATTAGTTAAAAGCAGAAGACTTTGAAGAATATTAAACATCGATTTTTTTTGTAAAATTTAATCACATAGTTGTGGAAAATCAGCTCTGAATTGTAACATACTGTTATAGTGGAACACACCTATTCTATAGTTAATAGACTCTCCCACCTATAATAAGTAGTAGTAATAGTCGCTAAAAGGCTCTGTGAGTTGGTCAGTCAGTCAATGTCGGACGACCGTTAGTCAGATACTAAAAGTATCAGCGACCACCACTAGATTTCTCTGCGTCATTATCTATTATATCAAGTTCCTAACGTTTTGTACGTCGAACCTATTTTAGGACCGACTTAGTACAAATACAAGCCTCCACTGTGAAACTACTCTACAACACATACAAAACCTAATAAAACTAAGACATTATTGAATTAGAAAAGCTTTTAATGGCTTTTATGAATAATATGGTTATTATGAGTTAAAATAGATTTAGTGGAATTTTATTTTGAGAATATAACCAATTAATCTCGACACATCTGGAACTGATTGTAGTCTATGATCTTACGGGAACTAATACCGAAAAAAAGGAAGATATTTATCATTGATTAATCTCAGATATCGACACAAAAGTAATATATGTTATTTTTGTTCATATGGTTGTTGCTAGTCCATTTTAAGCTTGGTAAATATTTAGATAATGAGTGAGTGAGTGCATGGGTATCCGATCTCCTATAATTGCCTGCCTCAGTAATGGTATTAAAATTATGATTATATCTTTTGTCAGCCTTGAAAAGAAGAGGTCAGGTCAGTTTGAAAATATCTTGGATTCTACCTTCTTGAGTTAACTGAGAATTAATCATCGAAACCTTGCTATATTCTAAGTTGTACAGAACTGACAAACTATTCGAAAAGACGAAGAAATAAAGACAAAATTAGAAAGCCTACAGACGAAAAGAGCAATTTTATTCAGCGCTCACAATCAGATTATAAATTCACAAGCAATACTAGAAGTTACTTATAGTTTAATAAAGTAAATCGATTTCAAATTAAGAAAATTAATGATTTGACATAATATGTACCACCCGAAGGCCGATGCTAACCGCCTTTATATGGCGGTAAAAGCTTAAACTTATCTAGAAGGTACATCTGACTGGATGTTATTAATTGTCACGAAAAATGTAGAACAATATTCAATTTATAAATAAAATTAATTTTTTTTTTAATTTTTTAAAAAACTTCTTTTTTAAAAGGAACGATAAATTCCAAAGGGAAATCAGCATCTCTGTTAAGAAATTAAATAAAAGTACGCTACAGACAAATATGACTAAAAAATCTTTTTAAATTTGCTAAAAAATAATTTAACAAAAATTCTAACGTGGCCAGTATGTACTGAGAAGTCAATTATGTGCCATGACTGACGAGGCAGAATTTTTCCCTCAGTAGGTTGCCATTACTTTCTGCGGTGAACCAGTTGCCATCCAAGTCTGAATCCAGTCTATCCTGCTATTTACCCATGGCGGGGGGGGGAAGGGATTCATACCTTTCCCAAGGGTATTAGCACGTAATTCGAGTGGAATTCGTGGAATTCGAACTCGGCTCTCCGATTTCTAAATCCGAGCCGCTATCCCTTACTCCATCGTACTTTGCAGATTAACTTAAAACCCATCAGTGGCTGAAGAATACAGAACTAAACGCAGACACGCAGGCATTTATAATGGCTGCACAAAACCAAAACCTATTTACCAGGAATTGCTAAACAAACATAATAAAGAATATTACAAACCCAATATGTATATGATGCGAATGTTGAAAATTTTTTACCTCTTAGTGCCTAGCTGTCCAATCTTGATACAGAAAGAATACAAACTTTTGGCAGTATATTCACTGAAAGATATGTCAGTATTACAATGCACCATATGAAGAAAAATGGTACAAACATCACCCTGAAACAGTTATAGAAAGTTATTAGGTCACTATTTTTTGCGATTTTACCATACAAACTTACATACACAAAATAGCTAATATACTAGGAATGTTATGAAGCTATTTATTTCAGATAACGGAATTTTACCTATTGCAGACACATAGTTCAAGTGCAGATGACGAAAATTTATTCTGCAGTTAATGAGTCAATGGAGTAACCGATGATCTCTTATAATGAAAGCATCGAATTATCAAAAGCCATCCAAATTTACACCTCTATTATTCAAATAATCGTGGTCAATGAGTAAATGATTCTCCTTTCTCTTATCACATGATACGAGGGGGAGTTGTGTTCTCAGTGGGAGTATATAATTCTCTGTCCTTTTACCATCTATGATAAGGGGTTTCGAATATCCTCAACAGGATTATATAATTATCCTTCTTATCACGTGTTACAAGGGGGTGCTGAAATGTTCTCAGTAGGACTATGTTATTTTCATCCCTCTTACATTACAGATCCTTCTCTGGATTTTGTCAAGAATCTTCTACGAAGAAGTGCTGAAAATATGCACGACATGAACAAAAATACGTTTTAAAAAATATCTGATGTTCGGACAGATTTTGGAAAGTGGATCATGCCGAATACTTTTCTCCGCCCACCCCGCCTCGTATATTGTTAATGTTATAGAAATAATTCCCCAAAGATAATTTCAGCAACATTAGTTTTGTCAGATTATAAGCTTCAACCAATTCAAAAATTGATATTTTACCTAACATGTAGCTACAAAACTGCTTTTCCTAAACAAAACTCTTTTCACTTAATCACCACAGAGAACTTTTTCTGTCTGCCATAAGCATATGGCTGACGCGAGACTCCAGGAGAACAATAGACTACGTCTTCTTGGCCTCACATTTTTCACTGACATGAAGTGGAACGACTATATCGAATCAATAGCTGCATCTACTGCAAGGAAGGTTGGTTTACTGTACCGTGCCAGAAAATGTTTCTCGTCAGAATCCATCATGCACATTTACAAATCTGCCATTCGTCCGTGTATTGAATACTGTTGCCATGTCTGATCTGGTGCTCCTGTTGTACATCTCGTAATGGAATCGATCCTGACCAGGCATCAGGACTTCAGTCACTTTCTCGCCGACGTGACGTAGCTTCCTTCTGTCTTATCTACAAATATTTTCATGACAACTGTTCTGACGAGTTTTTTTGCCTGATGCTCCGACTATATGAATTTAAGCGTGTTAGGTCCCACTGTTTTACTCTTGAAATAGCTAAATGCAGCCGCCACTTCTACTCCAGCGGTCTCTTTTCTTGCACTTTCTATCTGTGAAACCCTTGTCATGCCGTGTAGTGCATGGATATGTATTGATAATAATAATAACTCGAATACGTGTATAGTTATGAATAAGGGACTGTCATGGCGTATGTTTATTAATCAAGGCGCATGCGTGTTTGTATATATAAAAAACAGATTGACGTTCCGGGAACCCTGAACGAAGGAGTAGGCAATATCATTACATCCCCCTTTCTCCAAAACAAAGATCATAATACTAGGTCTCTAAAACAAAACAAGCATAAATAAATAGAAAGGCTCGTTCAGGGTAGACTACCTGAACAGCTACAGCAAAGCAGGGGATTATTCTGCCCCATTAAGTGCTTGCTGTGGGGTTATGAGAATGTGTTCATCATAAGTTCTCCTTTGATGGCGGTCGCACCATCCTACCACTAAGGGTACGCTTTTGAGGGTCATTTGGCATGTTTGGGATCGCACACACAGGTGTATCCACAAAAGTCACACATTTCTGTGAAGCTGCTTTCGTGATGTCTTACGACGGTTGTGGGTCAGGCGCCAATGTGATACTCCTTATGTGTTGCCGGTTTCTTCGCAGCACATACCCATTGACATTCTCCAGGAGATATGAGCGGTGACCATCTGCCTGGGATACTACAGTCGCTGGGTTCCAGCTTCCAGACATAGGGTTTTGTACCCTTACCCTTTGGCCACAGTACAGGGGTGGTAGTTCCTCCTTGAGTGCATGTCGGTCAAAGTACCTCTTTTGGTTTTGTTGACGTTGTTGAATCGCACTATATATCTGATCCTGATCTTGGTGATCGTTTCTGATTTTGGTAATCAGTGGAGATTGGATTCGTCTACCCATGAGTAGTTGTGCAGGGTTTGGTATGACGTTTGAAATTGGAGTACAGCGCCAGTGCAGCAGCACAATTTCAGGCGTTGTTCCCGACTGCTTGGCTTTTTTGGGGATGTTCTTGACAGTTCTTATCTGCCGTTCTATGAAACCATTTCCCTGTGGTCTCCGAGGTGAAGTGGTCTCATGGTGGAAACCCCATTCTTTGGCGAATTCACGGTAGAGGTGACTTGAAAAGTGTGGTCCATTGACTACCTTTGATGGTATCCCAAACTCTGCAAAGACTTGGTGTGTGATGTTTACTATAACACTGCTTGGTGAGTGAGCAGGTAGGTGTTTGACTACAGGGTACTTGGAGTAATAGTCGGCTATGATCAGCCATTGACTTCCATGGAGATCAAACAGGTCTGTGCCAACTATGTCCCATGGCTTTGTTGGGATGTCATGTTGCATAAGGGGCTCTTGCATTTGGGATGGCTGATGCTGTTGGCAGATGCTGCATGACTTTGTGAACTTCTCGATGTCTCTATTTATGTTTACCCAGTAGACAGTGTCCTTGGCGAGGAGTTTTATTTTCTCTTGTCCTAAGTGATCGGTATGAAGCTGTTTTAGGATGTCATCTTGAAGTGTCTGGGGAATGACGATTTGTTGTCCTTTGAGGATAAGACCATCATCAATCGAGAGCTGGTCTCTTAGACCCCAGAATACTCTGATGTCAGTGGGCAGCTGCTTGATTGTCTCTGGCCATCCAGTGATGATGGTCTCTCTCAGCTGGTTAAGCAAAGGATCCGCTGTTGTACAGTTTCTCAGTTGTCCAATGCGATCAGTGGAGAAACGGACAGTATCAACCCGGATATCAAGCTCGATAGGGTTCGAATTACCGGGTGATGGTAGGCGTCATAGTCCATCAGCCAAGATGTTGTCAGATCCCTTGTTGTAGGTGATCCTGAAGTTGTATCCCTGGAGTTGTATAAGCATCCGTTGCAGGCGTGCCGGGGCTGAGGTGAGCGGTTTGTCGATAATCATTGTAAGGGGTTTATGGTGGGTGATGACTTGGAAATTGTGGCCATAAAGGTATGTGTGGAATCTCTGTGTGCCAAATACGATGGCCAGTAGCTCACGCTTGATACATGCATATCTTTGTTCTGTTTGTGTTAAGCTCTTGCTAGCATATGTGACAGGCGATAGATTGCCATCTGCATCCGGTTGTACCAGAGCTGCACCTATCCCCCGTATACTCGCATCACAGTGCATGTAAATTGGGAGTTTGGGGTCAAAATAGTGGAGCAGAGACGTTTCAGATACTTCGCTCTTTAGATCTTTGAAAACTTTCTGGTCACGCAACACGGTAGTTTTGGAGCTGAAGTCCTTGATGAAGCGAGATAGGTATGTCATCACACCTAAAAACTGTTGCAATTCTGTTTAGTTACGTGGTTCTGACATCTCCTGTAGGTCACGTACTTTTGTTGGGTCAGGTTTCAATCCGGTATGTGTATACAGGTTTCCAAAGAAGGAGATTTCCCGGCGTTTAATCTTGCATTTCTCCGAGTTGAGGGTAAGGCCCTCTTGAGTAGCGACCTCCATAAAGCGCTTTAAGTTTTCGCCGTGTTCATGTTCTGTTGACCCATATATGGTGATATCGTCAGCTATACCACAGGCTCCAGTGCACTTCTCGAGTATCCTGTCCATCTCAAGTTGGTAAATATCCTGACTTACACTCAGACAAATGGAAGTCGTTCAAAACAGTACCTCCCAAATGGCGTTTGGAAAGTTATTAGTGGCTGGCTTTCACGATCGAGCTTTATGGACCAGTATCCAGACTTAGCATCCAATTTTGAGAAGAATTTTGCTCCTGCAAATCGATGGTTGAGCTCTTCGACAGTCGGAATTTGGTGGTATGGCCGTATGAGAGCTTTGTTTAATGCTCGTGGGTCTAGGCAGACTCTTATTGTGTTGTCACGTTTGGTAACATATGTAAGAGAGCTTACCCAGTTTGTAGGTTCTTCAATACGGCGAATGACTCCTTGTGATTCCATCTTATCGAGCTCAGCTTTGATTTTTTCGCGTATGGCTATAGGTGTCCTTCTCGGTGGGTCTATGTGGCATGGCACATTGGGGTTAACAGCAAGCTTGTGAGTCCTCCGAAATTCACCAATACAGTCGAATCTGTCAGGTTAGAGGTGCATTAGGTCAGCTACACTGTTGATGGGTTGGTGCTGGACTGAGATAGCACAGTTCATTGTCACTAGTTCAATTGGTGCTGGACTGAGATAGCACAGTTCATTGTGCTACTGAATATTGGCAGGCCCAATATGGCTACTCCTGGAACATCAACCACGTAGAATTGGGTATCCAGCCATGGAGAGTTCTTGTATTTGCACCTAATATTTGTGGTGCCATAACAGTTTATCTTTGTGTTGTTGTAGGCTCTTAGTAGGCATTGTGTTGAGGTGAGTGATCCGGGTATTGGATTTCCAGCTTTGTCTATACTGGTGGGGTACATCTTGCGGAATATGCGGATAGGCAGTGTGTTTGTTTGTGCCCCTGTATCTACCTTCAGGTTGAAAGTATGAGTGCCTGGGTGGTCCATCAACTTGATGTTTAAATCAACAAATGCCTCATTTCGAGGGCCTTTCATATTTGATGATTTTCCACTGTTGGTTTCGATGGAGCTAAAGGTGAGGTTTTCCATCGCTGTGTCTATGTCGGCCATGACTTGGTCATTGTTTTTGGCGACGCTGTCGACTTTCCTGCCAAACTCCTGTTGTGGGTGTCTCGACTGGTTACGACCGTTAGACCAGGTTTTCCCTTGTCGTCTCTTGGTCTTATGTTTCCCTGAGATGCAGACTGTGGCCCAGTGGCCTACTTTGCCACGTGTTGCATGTGTCGTTCTTGGCACGGCAGTGTTCTTTGCCAAAACGGTGGTTGCGTCCACAATTTTTGCAAACTTGTCTGTATTTTCTGTCACTCCCTTGCTGTTGGTGTGTACCACGGTTTATTGTGGCTATCTGTGGTGATCCCTGTAGCTGGTGGAGTTGGCTGACATATATTGCTGATGCTTCAAGTGAACGGGCTAATTTAACAGCCTCTTCGATTTTGTAACCCTTTGGTTTGTTCAATAGTTCCTTTTGTAGTTCGGGTATGGGCGTGCTGGCAATTAGTAACTCAACGAGGCGTTCGTTTACTTCGTCGACAGTGAAGTTGCATTTCTTTGCTAGCAGTCGGCATCTGTTAACGAAGATGTCCGTTGTTTCAGTTGGCTTTTGTTGGTATTTGCTGAGATTATTATATACCACAGACGCGGTGGTTGTTTGCCGGTTCGAGCTGCTCCATGAAGGCAGAGAATATTTTTTGTGGGTCCTTGCGGTCGTCGTCTGTCATGGACCAACTGTTGTATCGGCGTAGGCCTTCTCCGCCGGCTGCGAGGAGAATTAGTGGCACCTTGTATTCGTGTTTTGTTGCCTTGACGGTGAAGTAAAGCTCCATACGTTGCCGAAATAGTTTGAACGATTCGGCGATGTTTGGCGACCCCCAGTCAAGAATAGATACTTGTATTGACACTGTAGCCATGATATCTGCCTGTTAGTAGCGGTTATGTTGTGAGCCCGGGCGTGGCGTGAGCGAGCGAGCGAGAATTTGTGTAGCGTGGACGATTAAGGAAAATAATGTACTGCTGTTTGTACTCACTGTTTTATTTCGGTACTGTGATTTCGTAGGGTTGTTTAGTGTATTATCCAGTCTCGCTGCCACCATGTCAGGCCGTGTAGTGCATGGATGTGTATTGATAATAATAATAACTCGAACACGTGTGTAGTTATGAATAAGGGACTGTCATGGCGTATGTTTATTGATCAAGGCGCATGCGTGTTTGTATATATAAAAAACAGATTGACGTTCCGGGAACCCGGAACGAAGGAGTAGGCAATATCATTACAACCCCCTTCCATTTCCCTGCTTCCCTGATAACTACAATCTTCAAAAATTTTAATGCAACGTTAGTCGCCCTCTTCTATCTTCTTGAAACCTGTTCAATTTTTTGTCCTTCCCTCAGTCCTCCCATTTTATTTTACTTTCACTCCCTGTAACCCCCACTTTGCGTTCTAGTGGCATTACCATCTTGCTTGAGGTTAAACGATTTAAAAAAAATGTTAATGAATGCGACTTCAGAGAATTAATTGCGTTATAACTGCATCATGATATTTTTTTTTATTATTTATTGCCTCGTGTCTGAGACAGTTGTGTCCACCACTGCAAATGGTCGATATCCGAGTCTAGATAAAAGCAAAGATTCCTCATGTTCGTTTTCAAGGCCAGGATTCTCTTCTCGCTTGAAAAATTCGCGCAGGACAATCTCTCTCCTTTCATTTGTCTTTGGGGCTTACTAAACTCAGCTCAGTAATATATATTGCCATACGAAGCGCTTTAGAAATGTATAGTATAAGAATTGCGCCCCTTACAATAATGATGAGTAGCCTCCCTTGAAGTAAGGATTTTTCTTATCTCTTTATCTGTTCTAATTATTGATTCGGAGATATTGTAAAAGTAAAGTGGCTGTGGAGAAAATTTTTTTTACAAATACATTTTATGTATTTCACTTTCAATAATTAATATTCAAAAAATAAAAAATAAGAATTTTGTTCAACGCTTCAAAACTTTCGAAATTCTTTAATACAAAAAAATAACATTGAATGTCGGATACGCTATCATCAAATACAATGTATAAAATATGTATGAAATATCATTATAAACGGAGCCTATATTCCAGATGTAAAAGGAAACGTAAATAATCTAGGTAATGCAATTACGATATATCAGTTGACGAATACCAATATAGAGAGAGTTTTAACTGGTAAAAATCAGGAATTATCCTCGTTATTTATAATTAAGATAATACAATTACAAGTATGAAAGGTTTTTTAAACGTTGGTAATTTCTTTGCTCATTCAATCATTCTATAAGTATAAATATTATTTGTTTTAAATATATAAAATGGAAACCAATCATTTCAAATGAAAGTTGTATAAAAATGTCATGAGAAAGTAATGTAAAAATAATTAAAATGTGAAAATAAAATAATAAAAATATAATACGATATACTAAGTGTGTTTATTGCTTTTTTTATATTTCTCTTGTGGGGAGAATATAAAAATTTATATTAAAAAAACGTAAATTAAATGAGTAATACAAAAAAAGTATAGAAAAAATATATAAATATTGTAACAATCGAGGTTTGTCTTACACAAGTAAGTGTTTTGGGGGTTTTTTATATTAAAAGAAAGCCTAATAAAAAGCTAAAAAGGCTAATAAAAAAATAATAAATTTGATTTGAAACATGTATGCATTAAACTTTGTAAAAAATACCATGGCTCGAAAAAGAACTACCGAATATAATTCACTCAAAGGCGGGCGGTTTGTTACTTAATTTTTCAAATTTCAAAAAGATATACGCTTTTTGCAATTTTATTGACCAATCAAGAGGATGACTTCCACCCACGCAAATTTAAAAATTTAGAACTATCTGGAGCTTATTTGGGGGCTATATAAAAAAAGGAATTAGTAGAAAAATAACTCATTTGATGTGAAACATTTGTACTTTAAATTTTCTAAAAATAGCATGACTCGAAAAAAGAACTACCGAAAATAAGTCGGTCAAAATCGGACGCTTTGTGACATAATTTTCAAATTTCCAAAACATCTAACTTTGGAATTGTTTACCAATCGCGTGAGTGACTTCCACCCACGTAAATTTAAAAATTGAGATCCATCTGGACCCTATTTGGTGTTTATATAAAAAAAAAGATGAGTTAGTAGAAAATTTCCGAAGGTACAAGAAGGTTAAACAGGTTACAAGGATATCAGAAAAAATAGTATTGCATGTCACTAGTGGATGAACTAAGCAATTTCTTATGGAAGAAGTAAGAAGAATCAAATGAAAAAAGAAACAGAAAATTGTAAGTGTATCATTTTTTAAAGAATGTGCATTTCGAACCATTTTTATTTTTGTACATCGTCAAAAGATCTTTCGATTTTTAAAAGTTTGTTTTTTTAAACCTTTTTTTAAAAAGGAGTCTGTATTGTACCATCTCAAGATATATATATTAAGAAATATTTCTTTAATATATATATTAAGCTTTTAACGAAGTTTTATTCAAAGCTGTTCCACCATCACTTTTTAGAGTAGAGTAGTTCAAGGGGGAGATAACTATGGTTCCCTTCATAACAAACTTTATAGACTTTTTTACGCATAAATTGATATAAAAAAAATTTGAAGTTAAAGGAAAAAAGTAGAATGAAGTTTTGATTTATTTTTAAAATTAATGGCAGTAATGGTTTCTAAATAATGGTACCTCTAAAATAACTGAAATCCTGACGCTCTTGAATACGTTTTATGACATGTTATATAATAAATTACGAATTAAATATTTCAATGATCATATCTCACAGCCCGTTGTTATTGAATTTTCCCGTTTCCTCTTTTCCAAAAATTGTTTGCCTAAAACTACGTATAACATAACTAGCACACTTGCGTAAATGGATTGCAGAACAGGGTTTAAGAAGGATAACAAAAAAATCATTTTATTAAGAGCTACAAAAGAAAGGAAATTGTGGGGAACCATGACCACCAACGTCTTGAAGGGACACGTCAGATAGAAAAAGAGCACGTGAATATATTATTATGGGAAATATCACCGGATTTTTGTCTCATATTTCATTTATCCACGTAGGTATGTGAATATTACACTTTTTAGTGGAAGAGAAGGCGCCTTCTGTAACTTGAAAAAAATTATCCCTTTTTAATAACATTTAGCTACTGTCTATTGGGTTTGAAAGACAATTCATATTTATTATAATTTATTCATAAATATTAGGTACCGCTAAAAATCATGCACTTTCGACTCTTGAAGAAAACCGTTAACCCCTATGTTTACATATTTACCAAAAATCAGGGATTTGTCAGATTTCATTGAAATTTTCAACATTTACTTATTAATGAATGGATTTTACATTGAATGTTTTCTTTTATTTTAAATTTTGTGAAAAAAAAGAATTCAGGTCAGTTATACCCCCCCCCATCTTTACTCAAATGAATTATGAATGTTCCTAAATTTTACATTATTACAAACCTAACCCCATGAAGGCGTTATATCATTAAAAACAAGTTTAATAACGAATGCAAACACGGAGAAAGTATGGTCCGAAACCTTAAGAAAAAAAAATTGAAGAAATCTGAAAAAATGTTTTGTGGAGACTTTCTTTAAGCCTCGACGCTTTTCAGAAAAAAATATTGATTATAAACGTCGTGCCTTTAAAATGTGCTTATGTCATTGACATCTGCGGACGAAAACAATTTTTTTTATTTTACAAAAAGATTCTTTGAAATAAAAAACAAAGAGATATACATTTTTATGTGATTTATTTTCAGAAAATATTTGTAAATAAAATCTAAGTGCAGATAACTCTGCAAAACGCACTGTACCGATATTAAACAGAATCGAACGGCTTTTGTAATTTGCTATCGTGTTAATAACAAATGCATAAAAACGTTATAAAACATTGAGGTAAAAACAATAGGTCTGAACAATGAGGAATCTTTTTATTGAAACTTATATCTTTGCTTAATGTTATTAGGAGGTATTGTTTATGGTAAGTGTTAGTAATGACTGTATATACAACCTCCCCGGTCTTTTAAAGAATTTTATTTTTTTAAAATTATGTTGAAGACCTTTTAAATTTATTATTCATTGTCATATTTTATATCTTGATGGGACTTATTATGGGACTTGCGACTTGCGATATTTTGTGATTTAGTTGTTATATATTAGATTTACTATGTTATAGAAAGATTTGTGCGTAAAATCTTCTTCATTAGTTGTTCTGCCGGTGAAGATTGATTAATCTTTAAAGGAGTTTTTCCTAAAGCTAGCATAGCTAAGTAGGGTTCTTGCTGATTTTCGAATGATTCCTTAAAAGTTTTTTTAAGTTTCAAATTGTTAGATTTGTCGGAGTTAGCTCCTCCTTAATTCCCTAATTGTCACTAGGGGTCTCTCTCCCTACATTATAAATACTGGGCGACTTCTCGCCTCGTCCTCTTTTTCGTTTCTTCATTTAAGCGAACACCTCTATAATGTGATCTCTTGCAAAAGACAGCGTTTCCCACTTGTGGGAAGACGCCATGAACATTATACACACATACACATACGTACGAACATTCACCAAAGAACAAACACAAATGTTCACACACAAACACAAATGTTAATGTCTATGTCCATTATAAAATTGTGTTGTTTAATACATGTATTTGTTGACATATATATATATCGGTCTTGTTTATTTTCTTTCATTTTCGGTTGGACTTAATTTGAGTCCGCCATTTTCTTGTAGTTGGACCTTCTAGCAGGAAATAAACAGCACGTGTACCTAATTCAACAACTCGTAAATACCCCCCGATCCTCTACAGACTGATGTTTATCACGCCAAAATTTGTTTTATGGCTGGCACGGTGTATGTCAATGTCATTCAGTCAGTTATGTGCCCTGCGTGATACACGCTTCGGCATTCATGTATATTTC